GCTACTGCTACTGCTACTGCTATGCCACTGCTACTGCTACTGCTACTGCTACTGCTACTGCTACTGCTACTGCTACTGCTACTGCTACTGCTACTACTCCTCCTCCTCCTCCTCCTCCTGCTGCTGCTGCCGCTATCACTCCCGATTCGCATGGGCCGTAAGGGTTGGGCAGTTGCCACTAGCGTCAAATCACTCATAACGATTGTTTCGACATGAGTGCATATGGAAGTTTGCTTGTAGCGATTCATTGAACAAAAGTGCATGACTAGCTTTTGCACGGCTTACAGTTCCTGAGGCGTCTCATTACTTCGGGACACTATGCAGCAAAGTCACCATGGGTGATAGCGTGCCCGGTCAGTCTAATTGGCCAATGAAAGAAAGATGCTGACAAAGGCTACTCGGAGTTCCTGCAACATCCTGCAACAAAGGCTTAAAAACCCCAAGCATACAAGCGAATCAACCCTAGGAGCTTCAAAGCCCGCAACCCCGAGCAGATTGACGTATGGCNNTCCGGGCCAAAGGCAAAGTCAGGGCTTGGAGCAAACCTCGGATATTCTTCTTGTCACTATTCGGATTACTGTTACCATGGCTGTGCGTACCATCACTAACCCCGCTTGATTATTACAATTCACTAGTATTACCCGTGCTTACTACTCCCACCACCACTACCACTGCGACTACGACGACGACTATATACTGCTACCTTATTTCTGTTGCCATTGGTGTTCAAGCTGTGTTACAAAGAATCTTGGACTGGCAACTTTCCGCCTATAGTGCTTGGGACCTCGCAGACCCACATGAATGTATTTACAAGGGCCCCTACAGGAGAGATTCCAGAAAACCTTAATAGCGAGATCTGCGTGTTCTGATGTTTGTGGGCCCGTAGATGTAGTTGCCTTGTGACCAGGATCCCGAGCTTGCAGCCAAGCACCGCTTGACAACACTAATCCGAAATTAGCATGGGTGGCTGTGCACTCGCATACGCAGCCATGCGAAAAAAAACAAGATGAACTGCTGAGACACACATTGGCAGGATACGAGATGCTATTCCGGCAAACCTTTTTGCATTTCGAGCGGCTGCCGCCGTATTGCATCCACAGAGTTCTTAAGCTTGGCTTCTTCGGAGCAGCCCCCCTCACTTGCAAAGAGGAAGATGTTCTGAGAGCTTTCCTCGGATGCCAAATGGTGACCAGTTTCAGCAGCCTACACTACACGCCTCCCAAATGCACAGCAATGTTCAGAAGAACCCTATGACTGTTGCGTACTCGGCACATTGTGCTTGATATAGTCGTCCAAGGACTCCCACTGGTCCATTCCGATTAGCCACTCCGGATAATTAAATGTGAACCTGGCTTGGGCTCGACTGAGGACAAGTGTGGCACTGCGTCAATACCCGCAAAATCATGTGTGCGTTACCTGGCAAGGCATTGATTGCTTCACAGAGGATTGGAGAACAATCGACACAGCATTCACATGGCCAGAGCTCAACAGGTCTCAACAAAAGGCTGGACCTCGAAGGGCAGGATGCCGACTGGCGTTGAGCTGCAGATGCTAGCTGCTAGCGAAGCACTGCTGCAGACAATTCGTACCACTCTTCTGTCTGGGAACCCTGAAAGCCTGCCGGCAAACAGTCTGAATCTGCAGGCGGCGAGCTTCTGCCACGGCAAGGTGCCCATATGCTTCGAGAGCTCATCCCTTCCTGCGTGGGTGTTCCGTCAGAACGCGTGCTTGAGAAATCACGTCGGTTTGCACTGAAGCCCCGTCGGCCAACATCCAACGACCCGGCCATCTGGCCAACCCCGTCAACGCATCCACAAAGCAAACCACGACCACGACACAGCTGCAACCAAGCGTCCCCAATGTGTCGCGGCCTCCCACCCAAGCTGCTTCGGAACGTGACCGGTCACAAGCACAGGCATTTCTCCTGCCAACACACTGTTGAATTCGAAATGCAAGTCGTAGTTGGCCGCGAGCTTGTTTTTGGCAGTCATGTTGCCGGTGGTTTTCTCCAGCTGGGAAAACATCCTTTTCCATTCTTTGTGCACCTGATCTAGTGTCATCTTGTGAAGATGTGGACAGCGCTCTTCGAGCGATTGGTTCTTCACTTTCTCGAAGAAGGCCGCGGCATCGGCACGGTAGTCTGCAGTGTCCACGATCTTCGCATGATGATGGTCGTGGCGATCCAAATGGAACGGATGTTTGCGCGCCTCGCGCGCTTCGCGCGCCTCAGGGACTCTTGCGACAGACCCCAATTGGCCGCGCAGACGGGTTCTCACAGGACACTGCGTAAGTCGAACTTAGCCAAGGCTCTTTGCTCCGGGAGCGCTTTCGGAATCGCGACTGCAGCAGGGATGCATCCTCCATGGGGCCTGTCGGTAGATCCATACCATCGCCGGCTCCTGTTGCACTTCACAAACTCTAGATATCCAGGTCGGTCCCTTCCTGGATATGCAGTTACGATCACTCACCACAGGAACGACGGCGGAAACGAACACATCATTACGAGCCAAGCATCCGTAGCTCTGCGCATTTACACCATGAGCTCTCCACGAAATTGATGTCCCAGCCGAACCAAGGATGCACAAACGTGACAGGATCTTCATCACGAAAGCACAGCAAAGCAGTGCAAGGAACTAGCACGGAGTTCGGTGGCCAAGAAAGCTCTGCCACAGCCTGGCATGCTTTCGCTTTTTGAGCCAACGGAAATTGATACAGCAGCGTTCTTTCAAGTAGCTGCACATCTCCACGCTGAGCACGTTCTGCTAGCATGTCACCAAAGTCGCAGTCTCTCTTTTCACCGGCTCTTGCAGAGCATAATGCTGAGCATGCAAGGGCAGCTGAAGGTCCGACAGCCTCTGCAACTCTGCGGGTATCCAGGTTGACTGTCAGTACCACACTGAGGCATGCGTCAGGGTCGATCCAGCTGTCCCTACTGGAGGCTGGAGCAGTGCATTGGAACGACCGGCAGCAAAAGGTGGGAAAATGCTACAGAAGTTGTTGCGTCTAGTCAAGTCGAAGTCCAATCCGTGCAGGCATGAGCCTAAGCTTGTTGAGCAGCTCACTCCAAGAAGACAGGCTTCTCCTTGGATAGAGAGCAGGTACAACCAGGCGGCAGTTTGCAAAGCTCTAGAGACAGGCATTTCATTCGTACCCATGGGTGTTTTGCTTTACCCTGGCGCAAACGTGCAAAGCCAGCAGCAGTCTTGGATAAGTCGAGTCTCAACTTGGCAGCACTTGACTGGCACCTTCCAAAAATGCGAAGTGCGATTCGGAGGAGGCTTTATCCTTGAGTTGACTCGACGAGCAGACTTGGACATTATGTGGAATGGGGGGTCTTCAGATCTGCTACCGGTATTTTCGACAAGAATTGCCGGAACTGCGACTGTTCGCCGTAAGGAAAACTGGCAACTTTTGCTTCTGATGTTGGACACAGATAAGCTAGTCAACTCGCGAAAAGCAATGGAAGCCAGGTTTGGCAACAGATCGACGAGCAGTTACCGGTATGCATGTTCGAAAGCATAGGTCCAAGTCGTCTGCACATTCCGTCGTGAGAGGCGCTGCCTTGTATGCCGTCAGTCGCTCCTCAAGCTCGGAGGAAGGCGGCGCGGTCGTGACCACCAATGCTGGCCGGAAGAGTTGACCTCGGCACTCGGGACGAGTCGGGACGTCTCGCGAGCGGCTGTGCTCTGGAATCCTAGGGTCATTAGCTGGATCATGACAAGGTGCAAGCCCCGGCCGACACTGTCCCGAAGTCCGCGATCTCTGCGGAAGACCCCTGGAACAACATCCAAGAAAGGTGATTTTAAAAAAGAAGCTCGCAGCCGAGGTGCCATGAAGAAGAGGACGCACTCCCGAAGGTTCACCTTCGATCCGGCCCGGCCAAGTGCCAGCATCACGGCGGAGCGTGTCTCGTTCCCGCCGCTCTCCTTGCGCTCATCGGCGGACGAAGCCAGGAGTTCTCCGCGGGGATCAATGACAGCCGCAGTGTGCTTCAGCTTCGTCAGTTCCTCCGATATCTTGTCTACGAAGAGGCGCAGCTCCCAACTCTGGGTTAGCAATCGCGTGCTAAGCTCCAAGTCTTTGGGTGGTATCTCACCTATGTCTGCAGCCCAATCCCAGGGGAAGCGGGTGGCAAAGGTCTTCATCATGGACTGGGCGTAAGCATTCGACAGGTTGAGTACTTGCATGCCCTCCAGCTGTTCCAGCTGACTGCCGGCACCACCGAAGCTGCTGCTCTCGGCGATGACGACGTTCCCTGGCATGGCCCAGGCTTGTATTGTGCCAAAGGGGTTCAATCCCATTAACACTGCTTGAACTACGGCGTTACTTGTTGAAGCAATTGTTGACGGTTTGCTTTCAGTTACCCTTTTTGCCATGCCGAGCCACGCAGCCCAAGGCCATGAAGCCAAGTCAGTGCTGTCGTGCACATCACCTTTCCGAAACACTTGCGGCTGTGCACAGCGTCTTATCCGATGCGGCGAACATGTTTGGAACTCTTTCGAAAATAGTGTAGCTGCGGCTTGTCTCTTTGCCTGCCGACGAGAAGCACAGGGGTTGAGCGATGTTGCAAAGACAACCTTGTCCCAATTCACTGCTGACGCGTCGGTGATTGCCCGGATTGCTGCAGTCTCCTGGGTAAGGGTCAGGCAAAGCAAGAATGTCGAAAGTGAAGAACAACCATGCAATGTGCATGTTGGGACCGGTCCGGCCGAGTACGGCCTGCCGAAAGTCTAATGCTGTCTTACCTGCATCCCAAGCGTCTCCGTGGTCCGTTGGGTATCCATCTGCCAGCGGCTTCTCCGCAGGGATGCGACCGTTGTGCCCGACCGAGACAACCTCCGCTTGGGAAGCTTTGTTCCTGGATGGGGTTCTTGAAACACTCGGGGCGTCTAGCACGGACGCTGCTCGTTTTGAGCACTCTTAATTTACAGCCCACATGTGCACCGGTCTGGAATCTGGAGTAGCGTAGCTAGCGTGCCGAAGCTGTCCCCAAACAGCCTGGACCAGGCTCGAAGGTCTCGGGGCTATTCGAGACGATGCCCTGATCTGTACGATCTATACCCTTCCAACTGACGAGAGTCCCGAAGCTTGGCATTGTTCATGCGCTCCACGATGGCTCCCGAGATAGGAATTCTGCCATTTGCCTTTGTGCGATCGGCCAGTTGGAGTGAAGACGCACGAGGTAGAGGGTAGTTCCTATCTTGTCTTCTCTGAAGTGGGCAGGCATGGAACCAAGACACACCATAAATGGTACAACAAGCACCGGACGCATGCCGTCTCCCTGGCTTCGCTTCAACTGGCGGCCATAGCCCGAAGTTTTATCCAAGCGGCCAGGGACTGCGACGCCCTCTCCAGAGCAAGGCGAGTGGCCTGGATCACGCAATCATCCGGAAGTGCCAGACGAGATGCGCTTTCAAGTGTTCGATATCCATTTTGATATCGTGAATCCTCGACGAGCCAACCAGATTACCATGATGTCTGACATTCGCAAACCGAAACTGCGACCCCCAACCGCTTCCCCCCCACCCACCCACCCACCCACCCACCCACCCCTCTCACCCGCGAACAGGGTGCCGACATGAGTGATTTTGCACGTCATATGCAGCTGACTGTTCGGTGCGCGAGCTGCTACCTCCGCCGGCTAGTCTGTCTCGCCCATTCGTACTTCCATCACTCTTCTCTATTCTGCCTTTGCACAGGAGGGCATGTGCATCTGCCATGAGGTCTATCGTGGCGAAGTGTTTTGCAGTAAAGTGCTATAGTGCTTTGTGGAGTAGCAATCCCGGTTGGATTTTTGCCCCCCAGACCAGGGGCGATATGTGTGTGAACGGTCCTCGTTTATGGGCTAAGGGAGGTCACTCTTCATCTTTTGGCAGGGTAGTCTACGACGGAGAGGGTGCAGGGGAGCTCCGTCCAACGAAGCTCTC